GTGTGTGTGTGTGTGTGTGTGTGTGTGTGTGTGTGTGTTCATTGACGCAGTCTGATATGTTGGGTAGAGAGCACTGCAGGGCTGCCTGCTGGAACCTTGCCCAGTTTACCCCCCCCTTTCTGAATACATGTTGATTTCTAGTTTGCCATTTAAAATTATTTTTCATCTTCTTCATATTATTTAATTTTGCAACATTCCAAAATGTGCGCATGAATTATTCCCAAATTAAATCAATGCATTCCCGCCTGTTTCCATCCACACATTTCCCATGTGCCAGCATACCAGATCTGTGGCCACCACAAATGCACATTTTTTTGTGATTTATATACCAAGGATAAGTGTTTGTCATCTCTTCAGATAGTTGTAGGCCTAAACAAAGTTCAAATCAAACACACAGAAAAACTGAAATCTTCAAATGTGTTCATAGGAGTAAGCACAAAAGCCCACCGACTTAAGCCAGGTCACTGACTGCACCAAGTTAATAATTTCCAATCTGCTGTATTAGAAAGAGCCCCTCCCCCCCCTCCCCCCAGTCTCAGGAAATAGACTAAAAAATCTCTATTCAAACAGGTGTTTCTCCTGTGTTTCTTGAATTGCCCATCTCCATGTACACCCCCAGTCCCACAGGCATCAAATAACATGACTGAGGAAGGCTTTGTGGGGCTTTAGTCCTTGGTGATGACTAGGTAGACCCTGGGGTGAGGGTACGCCCCCCCCCCTTCCAGCTGAGGTTGGGCACACTGTAAGGGGATGTGCAGTCAGACACAGCAGTAACAGGTGGGTAAAAGCTACCAGTTCCATCTGGACTGGTTGTCCCCACACTCTCCCTCCCTTTCAGGGGGTCAAGCAGGGCCCTGACAACCCTAGATCCTAGTCCCCCCTTCCCCCCGAGTCCACTCCGTCTAAGAGGCCTGGAACCATCTGCCCGTCCCTGTCCCGGCCATGCCCAGCCAGGCTGGACCACTTACCAGTTGAAGAGATCCACGACGACTTTGGGCATATTGGAGGAGAACTCGAAGTGGAATTTCGGGGTGGGACTGGGACCGTTGCTCTCTGCTAGCCAAGTCCTGATGAGCAGCAGGAGCGCGGCTGCCCGCAGCATGCCGCGGATGCCCATGGCTGCGGCGCTCAGGGGACCGGAGGGCTCGGAACACCGCGGCGGACCGCTGGAAAAAGGGACAGGGTTGGGGTGAGAGCCGGTCAGTGAGGGGAGAAGGGGGGCGGGATTGCTAGCCCTTCCTCTAAAGTCGCGACCCTAAGGAGGAAGCAGGGAGCGCGGGGTCGGTCCGCACCCGGGATTCCGGAGTCCGGAAGAGCAGCTACCCAGCCGCTCTTCCACGGGGTCCCCAGGGCGCGCCTGGCTGCTGAGAGGTGCGCTCCGTCTGCGACCGCTCCGGGGCTGCGACTGGGTGCAGAGCAGAACCGCGGCTGGCTCCGCCCACTCCGACGGCAGCACTGGCTGAGCCAATCCCGCAGGTGCCAGGAGCCACACAAAAAGGCGCGCGCTCCTGCCTCCGCCCCAGCCCGCGCGCGACCCGGCCTCCGCCCCTTCAGGCCTCTGCAGTCGTCCCCTTGACCAGCTCCAACACAGGGATGGGGACAAGCGGGACGAGGGGGACGGGCTCACTGCTGGGACTGGATCTGGGGCTAAGGGTCAGGGGCGGCTGGCTCTGGGCCTCTTCTTCGCAAAACGCAAATGGTATTTTTCCCTTGGAAGACTGTGCCCAAGAGTTTGTATTTTGTATTGAAGTAAGTGTGGCTATTTTACTGTCATGGCTGAATGCGCACTTGGAAACACTTGCGCACCTTTGGGGGAATCAGGAGATTGTTCGCAGACCACCAATCTCCAATAACCTCACTGTGCATACCCAAGGTGCCTCGTCTCTGGGTGTGTTGTTGAAGTCTCACTAATGCAGGATGGAAATTGGGTTCCCAGAGCCCGGCACTACTACTCAAAGATCTAAATTGCCCAGAAGGTTCTTCTTAAGTTTGGGTTCTCACTAACTGTTCACCACATGGAGTCACCCTAAAGTGTAACTCTGTGCCATGTCTGGAGGATGCAGACCTGAAGTGATTCCAGCCTGACATTATTGAATGGGAAAAGAAGAAGGCAAAATCTAGTGTTTGGGCTGCAGACCAGACAGTGCTCCTTGGTTCCTGTCCCATCATATAGAAAAGACTGGGGTTTTTATTAGATGGATTTTTATTATTTCCACCACTTGGCAGCTTTTTCTGTTACAGAACAGAATGGTCTTAAAAAGTCTTCACTTAATACCCTGTGTCCCACCTTGGTTCCATGACAAAGCAAGTTAAAAAAGATGCCTTACAGGAGCTCATGTGCCAAATAGTAAACAGCAAACAGGTCTCACTCAGGTTCATCAGGCTGCGCCTTCCAATCACACATAGAAAAGAGTCCACAGTAAAATGAATCTCGAGGGGCTGGAGAGAGAGCTCAGCGGTTTGAGAGCACTGTCTGTTCTTGCAGAGGACCCAGGTTCAGTTCCCAGCACCACACGGTGGCTAATAGCCATCTGTGACTTCAGTTTCAGGAATGCGACTCCCTCTTCTGACCTCCATGGGCATTGCATGACACGGCTGTACTTACATACATGCAGGCAATACATTCATACACATAAAATAGAAATAATAAATAAAATACTAAAAAAACGGATCTCAAGTTCAGTCTTCCTTAACTAGGGGCATGCACACAGACATGCCCCTTTCTACTCTCCCTCAGTACCTGGTGACAGGAGTCAGCATTGCTTGTGTTCAGCAAAGTTTCACTGGCCTGGATTGCTGAATATCTTACACAGTTGGAAGTAAAACACTTTACTCTCCTTTTTTAAAGGCGCTTGAAAATCAAACGGGAAATTACGTGTTTTATAAATCCATGCCTTCTCCTTTTCCTCTTCCTTCTTCCCCTGCTACTGCAGAAAATATTCCCTTCCTTACATGGACACAAAAGAAAAAAGGGATAATGGGACCCACATGTCAATGATTATCAGATATAAGAGCAGCTCAGCCATATCCACTCTACTCCTGAGTCCTGCCCCATCATCCCTGCCTATCTTTACATCCTTGTAGAGAAAATCCCTGCTTCCTCCCTCCCCCAATGGTGGGGTTATTCCACGTCATTTTGTATAACCACCTGGATTGTAATACGGGGAAACTGAGGCCCAGAGAAGGAAAAAGGATTGACCCAAAGCTACATAGTATCAGAGACCTCAAGTAGAAACCCCGCTGCAGATTTGTCTGGTCCCAGAACCTGGTGTGTTCAGTGCTCTGACTGGAAGTTCAGATAACTACCAGCAGGTGGCAGTAGATTTGTTTGGATGTGAGCTGCTCCCAGCATTGAGGACTCAAATGCCACTGGCAAATAATTGGTCTGGTCTCTCATTTGTTAGTGAAAATAAGTTTTCAGATTGAAATTTTGTTCTTAGTGTCCTTGTGACTATGAATATTGCACCTTAAATCCCAAAGGACCCATTTCTGCTTTTCAGAAAACCCCAAATGTGCCTAGAATTATAAAAATGAGCCTTTGTCTAGTTGATGTATCAAGTATACTCATACATATCCAGGCTGAGGGCTGGCGAGATGGCTCGGCAGGAAATGGCACTTGCCCCCAAGCTATCAGACCTAAGTTTGATCTCTGGAACCCAAGTGGTAGAAGAAGAGAAATGACTTCTATAAATTGCCTTCTCACTTCCACACACACTGTGTGGCATGTGCCTTCCCCCCAAATAAAATATGCAAAAACATTTTAGCCAGCGAGGTTAAACTCTAGAATTCAGAGGGCAAAGGTCAGCAGGATAGCACTCCTGCACCGAGGGCATTTACTGAATATGGACGACAGAACTGTGAAGTTGTGCTGTGGGTTTGGTAGTATCATAGGCAACATGGACAAAAATCAAAGTTCAAAGTCAAAACAAATGAGGGATGTATAGCTTTTCTGATCTTTCAGCTGAGATCATGAGCAGCTGCCCTTTGGGAAGTAACGGAAAGCAGTGACCCTGTTGTAATTAGCCCTTATGTAGCCTTGAAGCCTAGACCTTTGAAAATATCCTATCAAATTAAAAGGCTCTTTTAGGAATGTGCTATCATCTTAGGTCTACAATCATTTTTGCAAATAGTTTTAAAAATAATATGTCAAAAAATACCACCTAGACATATGACAACCAGTAGAAAAGAGTAGGTAACAAAAACAAACCCTCAAAGACTTCTGTTATCAGAATTACACGTCATATAGATTGCAAAGACTATGGCTTATTATATTCTACAAAAGAAAACTTGAAAATATCTGTAGGGAACTCAAAATCGTCACAAGTGATTTAACAAAGTTGTAAAAAAGAGTTGAAGAGGAGGCAGCTAAGAATGCAATTTGAGAATGGGACGGTTGAGCTCAACAGAAGGCCAAACAGTAAAAAAGAAAATCACTAAATTGGAAGATACATTATAAGAAATTATCTGGAGTTCTGTATAGAGAAACAAACCATGAAACTTTAAAAAGGAACAGAGTCAGAAGAGATGAAAAAGTGAAGAAGATTCAAATTTACATAGTCAAAGAACCCAGTGAATTCCAGACAGGCAGTCAGGATCTATCAAATGAAATCTATTCATAGACACATGATAGTGTAAGTGCAGAAAATCAGAGACAAGAAAGTCTCTGTGAAATAGAGAGATCCAGTGTGAAATAGAGAGATCCTGATGTAGGACAAGAGCAAAGGGATTGCTATTAGGGCATGAAAGGAAGATCCCACACTTCAGAATGATTTTACTCAAATTTCCATGAATGATTATTTTTAAAGATGTCAGTTTAATTACTAATTGATTAAATATATGTATTAGAGAAGGTGCTTGCTAAAGCAACCTACCACCTTGCAGCCATGTCCAATGGTCATCTTTGTGTCTCTCTTTTCATTGGTCACAGAAGAGGTGACTTTTCTCTATGGATGTCACACATTACTTATAGCTGAGCTCTTAGGTTAGACGAATATATATATTTTTTAATTAAAGAGAAAGCACAAAAATGAATTCTTTAAAAATTAAAGCTGAAATTTAAAATAAAATGGTTTTTCTTTTTCTTTTTTATTGGCGTACATTCATTGTACATAGTACTGAATTTCATAAAAGTGCTTCCATACAGCTCTATAGTGTCCTTTGGCCATATGCCCACTCCTCTCATCTTCCGTTTTCTTCTTCTCCCTCTCCTTTGGTAACCTTTGGATCTTTGGAAGAAAGTTTTCTCTCATTACCACCCCCTCAAGTGCACTATGTTTGTATGAACAGTTCTGTGGTCCTTGGGGTGTCTTGTTCTGCCTTCAGGCTTAGCCACATGTCCCCGCTCATTCACTGGGCTATCTCATGCTGAACTAGGATGAAATGCCCGCATGGAGTGCATATTAGAAATAAACACAGCTAAGAAGGTGATAGGTTGGTTTTAGAGAGAATTAACACCTCTCTCATCACTGGAATTGTTTATAAAAAGATGGAATGAAGTCCTCTTGTCAGGGATGGCATACAGGGAAGAATTCTATTCCATGTGGGAAGCTGCATCTGTGTTTCTGTGTTTGCCTCAAAATCCTTCATGTTTTATTTTGATTTGAGTGATGTCAGAAGAGTAGGCAAGTCAAACCCCACATAATCAAAATGTTGTCTCATACTGAACATATAAACTTACCTTCATTTTTATCAAGTGGTAAGTGATCAACAGTTTTGAGCAAGTGTCACAGAACAAGAATGTTCTGTATTTCTGATTCTGAGTGTCCACATTTCCACTTTACCTTGGCAGAGCCTTGGTCATTTATGTAAGTTGCAGCTACCTATCCCAGCTCTCAAACCCTTTAACTACTTCTTCACCCCTTGCCCTTTAATTACATCTTGAACATCTTCTAACAGTATCTATTCCCTTAAAGCGAATTGCAGGATTATGCAAGATGTTCTCCTGGGCAAATGGGTTTCCTCTAGGGAACAGGCTATGCGCACTAAAGGGGCATTTGACCACAAACCTGAAGGTATAGATTGGAACGCCAGCGTCAGTTTCAGGATGCATCTCAGCCCTCTCATATGAAATATGGGAATGGTGATAACACCCATTAGTTAAAAGAACAATCTGGACAGAAGGGAATGCCTATCCATCCCAACTTTCTAGCTCTGTAACTCCACCTCTTTTTTTCCTACATCTGGAAGGGCTGTGGTCACTTCCACATCTAGCCACCAGGGGGGGCATCATGTCTCCTGGTCTAATTGCGCAGTGAGTCTTTCTGTTTATCTAACTGATTTCCTGAATCCACAACCACTGTGATATTTAGGAAAAGGACATTCTCAAAATGCTCAGTTAAACATATGGGGGATAAACACCAGGATAAAACATCCTCATTAAGGAGCGAGCTTTAGTTCATGAATGAATGGACTTCTATTTCTTTCTTTT